TGCTATAATAAATTTATGCAAAACAAAATCTAATGTATCTTTTTCCAGTGGGCCACACTACTTTTCGCAGATTTATTTGACCAGGCTGTTAAAATCTGAGATTATAGTAATTTTCTCTTTTCTTTTACTTGGTTCATAGGTTAAAGTGTGAGATCCACTGCTTTCTGATAGCTCTGAGAAGCCACTCTTGCCTTCATGTTGTACAAGGACAGTTTTTCAGTACTGATTACTCAGACATCATCAGGAAGCATTTATGGAGCAAGATCTGACACTCCTAGGTTTACACAAAAGCGTAGCTCTTTCTGTGGAAAAACACATTTTGCTGAATAGAGGTGCATGTATTTTTCAGTTTTTGGCAACCTTGTTCTATGACTGTGACTACAATTTTGTTGAGAAGAGTGAGTCAGGAAGAGCTTCTTAATTGGTTTGTTTTGCTGCCTGTAAAACGTGCGGTGTGGTTATATAACATCTCAAAAGAGATCAGGCATCGGGAAGAAAGGTGATGAACAATTTTGTATCTCTGCCTTGTTTCCAGTTGACTGAACAAGAAATGAAGGGTGTGCTTAACTTTTTTGAGCTGTAAATAGTGTTTAATTTTTAGGTGCCAGCATGCTGCATTGCAGGAGGAGTAGTTGCACGGTTGGGGAGGAAGCATTTGCTTGTGGTAGGAAACTGCAACAGCTCCTCCCAACCAGGGCTGAAACTTCATATTGGTCATCTAGAGATGAAAGCCTATGAGTTATCTCTGAGCTGTAATCCTATTACTCTGGAGCGGTGGCTCTGCTCTCCCTGCTGTCTGTGGCTGGGAATATGCAACTTCTTGGCTGAGTGCCCAGACAGTAAACCTACCTTTTAATATTCTGCTATCAGTTCCTTCACAAAGCTTCTGGCTCTGCAGCTTATATTTGGTTATATGATACTGCATAAAAAAATCCAGGATTGATAGGGAGGAGTCACTAATTTCGCATACACACTGATAATAGTTTTGTATGGAATGGTTATTCTTCTTTCTTCTACTGATAGATTTTCAAATTATAACAACATTTTTGTGCATTAGATGTCATTGCCATTTCAGTGTTGAGGGATTTAGGTTCAGAGAGTACTGGTACTAATGTACAAGATCATATTTGTTCTCTGCAAACCTACAGTCAGTCTTTCTAAAAGTACTTCATTTTAGAATTTGGAGAATAAGAATAGTTTTCTGTGCGTTTTCTGCTAATGAGACTGTGCCATCTGTTGAAAAAAATATGCTGTAATGTGCATTCTATCTCTCTGTAAGTTAAGTTTCCTGCAATACCTTAAATATATAATCCGGTAGAAGTTTTGGTGGAAGGATTACAATGTTTATGTATTGTTGCGTATATGTTGACATCTATGCCATATTGCATTAGCCACATCTCGGGGGAGTGAGTTATTCCAATTCTGGTTTCAACCATTATGTATGAATCTTCTGAAAAGATCAAATTTTCTTCATGCAAAGGAAGAATCTTTCTCCCCCTTTCTTCTTTGTCTCCACATAAGGCAGGAGTGAACCATAACTGTTGAAAATGCTAGTTTGGATTTCTCATTGTAGGACTGAAATTTACATCACCTGTTGTGGAAGCAGAATCAAATGTATTTAAGCCGAGCATTTGGAATAACTTGAATTGGTAGTTGAGAGCTAAAATATAGGTACGAAATGCTGGGCAGTAGATAGAGAGCGTGTTTAGAAAGGGCAGAGCTTCTGAGTAATACGAAGGGCTATTTGTCTTTGTTCATGTATCCCAATGAAAAATGAGTATATGCAAATCACGACCTGATCTACACAAACATTTTCCTTCTACTCTGACCTTTGGAGAACTCTGTGTGGCAGAAGAAAGACTTCAGCCGAAGTCTAGAAAAAACAAACATGCCCACACAAAGCTGTAAATGTGTTTTGTTCCTCTTAATCCAGATGGTTGGGATTTTTTTTCCCCATACAATACAGTGCTACATAAATCTTATGCATGAACAGTGAAATCCTTTCCTACGCAGTTTAAAAGAGCATATTTCTTACGTACTTCTTAAAGCCAGTCACATAGATGGGTATTTATTATACAGTGCAATGTGGAGTGGAAATGAATAGTGTCTTATTCAAAAAGAACTTTAAAAATAATGTTTAAAACATAAAGCTGCTTTTTATTTATTTTCAGGTATAACTTGATGTTTATTTAAAATGTTTTATCAGTCCTCAGAAACACAAAGTAGAAATACGCTAATTCTAAAGCTTTTGTTCTTTTAAGAACTGGAAAAAAACTCTGGATCTAGACCTACAAAATTTTACTATCTCAAGTCAGAACAAAAGCGAACTTTTGGTTTCGTTCTAATTGTTAAGATGCTCAGAAAGATAATCATACTTTCTGCAATCACTTCTGTTTTTTAATGAGGTGTTTTAATAGAGCTACCACAAGGAGGAAATAAACTTATTAAAGCACATTTCTAGCTACTTCAAGCACAAGGATCTGGGAAAAAGCAAAATAGAAAGTACTCTGTCAATAGAAAAGATAAATATATGCTACAAATGTAGCAACCTCTGCAGCATGTAATCACGCATGTTGATTTACCAGTGCCGCTCTCTGTCTCTCAGAGATTAAACTGAATCTGAAAAAATGATGTCTCTTACTGTAACCAACGTAGAAATTTAAAATAGTTTTATATAAACAAAATCTTATTACCATTTAATAGTTTACCTGCAGATTTATGTAAAAATGAATATTGGAATAGTTTTAATGATTTTTTTGTGTCATTTTTCTAAGGATACTTTTTAAAGTATCGGTTTTGTAAGGATACTTTAAAAAGCTGTTTTGTAAGGTACATTGGAGAGAGTGTAGCCATGCATGTTTCAGAAAAGTAAATTTATAGTTAATATTTGAATTGTTTAGCAAGGTGCTTTAACAAACATTTTTCTGCACATGTGAAGCTACCACTTCTAATTCCATGATGGAGTCAGACATGTGTTTCACCTTTCATGTTTAATTGATGGTGCAGCCCTAGAATAGGAAGGTTGGTCTTTCATTCTTGCTATAAAGCGTGAAACCAAACCGGATCATGTTTGTGTTATGAAGCGGACCTTTTATCATTAGAAAGTGTGTTGGAAAACATCTCAGTAGTTTGTTTTCGAATAATGTTACACAGATCCCTTATCTGCGTTGTTAAAAAAGGGAGAGCAAATACTGGGGTTGGGATGATTGGGATTTTTTGTTTGTTTTGGAAAGTATATTGAGATAAACATGTTACAGAAAATCTTTACCCTCAACACAAGATGAATCAGCTCGGACTGTGCTGATAACTGCGGTTTGCTGTTACTGCTGTTTTACTGAATGCTATCATAAACACGTACCTATAAATCCTCTATTCTCGTTTTGCCACATTGAGAGAGTTATTTATAGCTGTGAAAGTAATAATGTTTGAACCTTGGAAATCATTCTTCAGAATTCTTACTTGCTGTGTGGTAGCAGCTTTTGTTTGGTGCCAGTATAAGGTGATTAAGTGACTAAAGTCAGGTTTTGGGATTCTCGCTGTGTCCCAAGCTCATCTAGGCTAGATTTGAGGCCAGCCGCACCAGCAGAGAGACAGGATGAACCGCCTTGTGATGCTTCATATTGGGAGTCACAGTTGCCCCTGCAGGTTCTTGTCTTTTGGTGGTTTGGAGAGAGCGTAGGTCCCTAGTTCTCATTAAATTTCATTTGAATGTTTAAAGAGGTGGAGTAAATCTGGGCCTTTTCTTCATGGTCTTTGCGTAATCGGTGAAGTAGACTTCAGTCCTACAACTTCACTTATTCAGAGGCAAAAGGTAACCATTTGAAACGCCCTGAAAAACGTAATGTTTTTATGATGCACTGAGAAAATATACTTTCTGCTTTCAAATTTACTGTATTTCAAGTTTCAGTGTTCCTTCAAACATAATTATTAAAAAGTAGGTATAGTTTTGTGTGTGTATTGACACACACATCTATAGGCTGTGTTTAATATTTTATTTACCTATATATTAAAAAAAAAAAGAATCTCACCTTGCCTAGGTTTGCTGGATTACTTTCTCAGCAGTACTCTCTGGATAAGTATTTACAGCAACTGATTTGTGAAATTTTTTTAGTATTTAAATGTCACCCTAACTGCTTGTAACTTCTTATGTTCAAAAAAGCCAAAGGTATTTAAATGCATAGCAGAAATGCTTTGCTTTTTATTTTTCCTTGGGTATCCCAGGTCTTGTTTTCCTTTTGCTTTTCAAGTAAAAATGTTATATGTTCTCCATTTGACTGTGTCACCACAGCAGTTGTAGTTCCCTAATCTTAGGGTGCAGAATACTAAAGTAGAGGCTGGCAGCATCTTCTGGGAGGCAGTCTTCCACGAGTAGCCGTCCCTGGAAATCCTCCTAGACTTCTGAAATGAAGAGAGTAAAACACACGGATGAATTCATGGTGGCTTGGCAGCTTTCTGACACGGGGAGCTTGATCAGAACCCTTGGCTGAAGAAGAGCGTAACCTACCCGTTCTGATTTTTCTGTGAGGCTTTTCGAGCCAACAGCTGTGCTGCCACAGCAGGGGGAGTGTCAGAAGGGCAGGAATGTGTGTCCAAAAATGAGAGGGTGGAGGCTACGTCAGACTCCTTGCCAAGTGCTAATAGCTAGGGTTTTTTGAGGAGTAGCGCAAACCTTCATTTTAGGAGTATAAAACAGTCACGACCCAGAGCAACTGACTGCATGGTGGTTTAAAGAATGTGATGAGAATTAAGTATTTCTATATTCCTGTTTTTCAGTGTTTCTTGACATTGAGAACAGTTATTACACCCTTCTGCTAGCTTTTATCTAGTCTTTAAAATGCAGGTACTCTCATTTTTTAGAGATGCAAAGGAAAGGCAAGAGAATAATACAGAACTGTCAAGAGAAGATTTTTGGTTGGTTGGTTGCATCTTTTTTCTTTTTCTGATGGCAATTTTCTAGTGAAATTCACGTATGTATGTTTTCTGTGACTTTCCTTTTATAGGCTCAGAACAAAGAAACAAAAGTACTGGCTGCTGCAAAAGTTATTGATACTAAATCAGAAGAAGAACTTGAAGATTACATGGTTGAGATTGATATTTTAGCATCCTGTGATCATCCTAATATTGTTAAGCTCCTAGATGCTTTCTACTACGAAAACAATCTGTGGGTAGGTATTTTTTCTTCTCTAAATGCTTTTGCTTGTTTCAAAAGCTTATTGAAATTACATTTTTGTCCTTGACTTTATCTAAAGATCATTTGTCAATCACATTTCTTCAGGGTTGTCACTATTGGGATAATGATTCTGTTTCAAAACTAACCTGTAAATTTTAAGTGTGACATTTAGGAAATTGTCACTGTAAAATGGAGTTATATTGAGCCATTTGGTCACGAGTTTCAATTTAAAATTTGGAAATTAGCATTCATTTTGGTGTATGGAGAGAGTTCTTAGGGCTTATTTGTAACAGCAGTAATCAGAATTTAATTTAATTAGCACCATTTAGAGTGAGTCTAAGAATCTGCCGCTGAAAAATAAATAACGTGCTGAAAAGGTCAGCCTGTGAACTATGCATTTTAAATATGAGTTAATTCATTTGTACTTCATGAGGGACAGTTTACCAGGACTTGAGCCATAATTAATTTACTTAAAACCTAGATATTTGTACATAGAAGTGTAGTGGGCATACATAGGACTGTACATCACATTTCCCCTAATTCCTGTACGCTGACTAGCTTTAGCTATGAAAGTACTGGTTTTTTCTTTTTGGCGATCCAGTGCAGTATTTATAAGTGCTTTCAGAATTGTACAAAAAATACTTGGCTATTTTAGAAAGAGTTTATAGTCTAAAAAGATACCTAAAACAAGTAAAAGATATTTTCCTTGAACTCCTACAGATGTGCTTTATCCTTTAAGCATGAACACAATGAAAGTGTAATACTGTGTTTCCTGATGTAGATTTATTTTGTTACGTTTTGTGAAAACCTTGTGTGATGTGAATGTGAAGTAAAATGTTGTTGTATAAAACAGTGGAACAGTGAAAAAATTTCCATGCATAAAGGTTGTTGTGAAAGCAAGTATGCAGAGGCAGAATATGAAACTGAGTGGGTAGGCTTCACTGGCAGAATAAATGTAGAAGATGAGTAAATAGTTTGAAAATAAAATTGTAGATATATGGTTACAGTGAAGTGCAGAGGCATGAAAGTGACCAAGAGAAGGCTGTAATGATGTGGTAAGTAAACCGGGTTTAGAGGAGGAAAAAAAGAGGAGAATAATAGTTGAATGTAAAATACACTTTTACTTTCCAATTTTAGAAATACAGTTTTTTTTACCAAAGAGACCTTTGTCAGATTGTCAGATTAAACAGCAAATTTCAGAGAGATTCCTTATTTACAATTTCCCACACCTAACTTACTTGTCAGTGAGTATGTAGAAGCATGTAAATGGAATAATGACTTGAAGGATTTACAGAGAGTTGCATGATAAAATGCGTCTCTGAGAACTGTTGTTCTTAATTATAATAGTAATTTGAAGCAATATGTAACATAAGTGGTGTACATAAAAGTGTTCTAAGGTATAATTTGAGGTTTCCTCTTTCATGGGAATTACACTCTGATTTTGAAAGTTCTCTGAAGGAAAAAAATTGAGGTATTATTTCCCAGACCATTGTCTGGTAGAATTCTGACAAGAAATATTCATTAGCTGTCAGATTGAAAATTATAATGTAGTGGTTAAAGTTGAAACTAAAGAAGAAAAAGCAGATATGAAAGACTGAGATGTCAGTCTTGGATGACCTTTTCTCTTTTTTGTTCTCCTCGTTCCCTTTGTCTACGCTCTTTCTCCTTTGTGTATGTTCTTTCTGTTCTACATGTCAGCACAGTGTGTGCCCTGAAATAGTTGCAGTTTATTTTTGTTTCAAATGGAAACTGAGAACCAGAGATTAAATTGTTGTAGTATTATTAGATTCTGGGATAAAAATCTTGATGTATTGTAAGCACCAATGAAAATGGAGAGCAAAATATGTAAACATTCAAATTAAGTAATTTTGTGTAACTTCAGTGTATTTCTGTATTTTCATCTCATGTGAAACAATATAGGAGATAACATCTGCTACTAGAAAATCATGTAGCTGTCATACTTGAACTTCTCAGATTGTAGTACAGAAGTACAGTTTAATAATCAAGAAATGAGTTTGCAGGAATTGTGTAAATCACATTACAACGAGTCACATTCAGGCTGGCTGTTTTAATATGTTTTATAAGTTATATTCTGCAATTTCATATATGGTGTAAAGCTTGTGTCCCCAAGCAATTTTCAAATAATTTGCTTGAACAGCACAGCCCTGCTTTTAGCTACTTAACAGTATCAATATTTTGCAGAGGTTAATGAAATAATTTGTTATGGCCAAATAGTCTGAAACTCTAGTCTTGCAATAATTCTCCCTTAATCAGTGGTTCAGTTCAGCAGAACTATTTAATTTGTAATTTGTGTATTCTTTTGTTTATATACAGATCCTGATCGAATTTTGTGCAGGTGGAGCAGTAGATGCAGTAATGTTGGGTAAATAAGTTGTTTCAATTAATAAACGTGGTAACGTCTTATATATTGTAAGACTTGTTTCATATGTATAGTGTTTTGAAATGCAAATATTTATGTAATTGGTGTGCTATATGTGTTGAATGTTGGGGTTTTTAAATTGGCATTTACACTTACATCTATGGACATTATAACTTTTAAAGTTAGATTAAGTTTCTCTCATTTTTGAAGTGTTTATTTACTTTTCAAAACACATTTTTGTCTTGATCCTTTAAGTGAATGTGATGACTTGTTCTTACATTCTTATGGAGCTCTGTATTGTTATAATTTGTATGAGCCCTTTTCAGGTTATCATTCTTCCCTGCCATCTCCCAGATTACGTTGTGACAATTTTGGTATTGCATCAGTTAGATTTTTCTGTGTTTATTCCTCAAGTTAGGTGAATGCTAATACCATAAGTGAAAGACCTAGTCTTTACCATCTTTGTGTACTGTACAAAAGAACCAATCCCCAAACTATATAGCTTTTTCACAGTTTAGGTAGGTAGGTGTACATAATTCCTAATGCAGAGGGGTTTGGGTAAAAGGGATGAAACTTTTGCTGAAAGGAGGAAATATTTTAAGATACAAGCTTTTCTGGCATCAGAAATCAGAATCTGTCAGAATAATGAATTTTCACATATACTCTATAGTGATTGCTATGAACACGTAACATAAAATGCAAAAATGTTGTGTTTGTTTCTGTTTCTTGTAGAACTTGAAAGGCCGTTAACAGAGCCACAGATCAAAGTGGTGTGCCGGCAGACACTGGAAGCACTGAACTACTTGCATGAAAATAAGATCATCCACAGAGATCTAAAAGCTGGCAATATTCTTTTCACATTAGATGGAGACATTAAACTAGGTAAGCGTGCTGCATATACAAGTCTTTCCCAGAACTTTGCATGGCCTTATGATTGCATTTTCCCTGTATTAGTTGTATTTTTTTGGATGCAGGTTACACAGAGGGTAAAGGTAAGGAGAATCAGAAGATCACCACAGTGAGCTGGGTCTCTAAATTCCCAACTTTGCTACAGATGGTCCTTTTAAATGTCAGCAAGATGTGCGCAAATATGTCTGTTACCTAACTCGTATTTATCACAGTGTCTCTGTGAGATACAGCACATCGTCTGTGTTAAGAGTTTGGGAACATTTAAGAACCTGTGTTGCTACATCGGTAATTAAGTGTATCTGTGCTTTTTTGCATAGATATCCCTGCACGAGATTATTAGTTGTACATGCAGTACTTGCATGTGCCTTTCTGTTCTTCTGCAAAGTATGGGTAACTTCACTGTTCTGTTTTTTCTTGGAAACCTGAAGGTTTAAAGATGGAGTCAGTGCATAGGTCTTATTTATAAATGTAATAGAATCACTGTCTTAGTTTCTTAGTACTACTGTAAAAAAAGTAGCAAGAGTCTCGCGGTTACAGAGAGTATCCTTTATTCCTCTTCATTTTATTTGCCTCATATGACCTGGCTCCTAGTTGTGCAGACTGGAACTATTTTAAGGTTTTGTCAAGCTTAGCTGATAGGCAGCACTGTGCAGGCTGTCAGGATACTACTTTATGGTTCAGACCACAAGGAGATTTCTTCCCCACATGCATTTAGTGAAGTTTTCAGGTTTGCTAATTAAGATTTCTAAAACCAGATTTACTTTAGTGTTGAAAATTGTACAGCATCCCTTGAAAGACTTTTTACTCCTTTTAAGCTATTTATATTTTGATTCTGGTACACACAGAAGTGGGTAATTCCTTGTTTTACAAACGTGAACAGCAAATAAATCTGTAATCCCCCAAGATTTCGGATTTTGTATTTGAATAAATAGCTGTCTTAGTATTTGTGTTTTTCTGCACAGAGTAAAATTAGGCTTCTTGAGTGTTGAGCCTATCAAGTAATTTTGCACAGATTAAAGACAGCAACATATGGCAATTGTGCCCCTTAGCTCTAATCTCTAGATCTTCATTAAGTTACATCTATAATAAGCATATAACACTTATTTATATGTCATCTTTTTTTTTTCTAAGTGAGAAACATAGTGCTTTATAGACGAGTAATAGTAATTGGAAAGATCAAGTTGATTTTTGGTTGGATGTTACATCAAAGCTCCATATGCAAGTTTTCAGATATCTAAAGTGAAAAGTTGTGTTGAAAGAAACCCGTAAGATAAACTGTAGCTTTATGAAAATTTGAATCCTGAAATTAAAAATCAAATGAGTTGTTGTATTAATGAGAGCACTAATGCCATGTCTGAGAAATACAGACTTCATAGGCTAAAGAAATTCTAATTAAAATAATTTAACCCACAGATTCTTGCAGTAAATACATGCATTGCTTGTCTCACACAACTCAACAACGGTATTACCTGTTTTGAGCACTGGAGAATAATATTTATTCAATATCTTGTATTAGAAATGCTTTGAGCCTTGGCACTAAGTTACCAAAACACAAATTTTTATCTCACTTTGAAGTTACAATGCTCTTCTGTTTGCTTGGGAACATAGGAAGACAGTTGTAAAATATTACATGTTTTCAACCACTCACTTAATAGTGTTTTCATGTTTGCTTTAAGCGGATTTTGGAGTATCGGCTAAAAACACAAGAACAATACAAAGAAGAGATTCTTTTATTGGTACACCATATTGGTAAGTGCACTGCTTTGCTGACTTTTTAGTATGAACTAACATCTTAATATTACCTGTGTTGCTAATATTGCAAGCTGGATACAATACCATGTAAATACGTTAAGCAAGAGTACAAAGTGCTTCTTGAAATGCTTCAGCAAATGTGTCTTTTTACAACTTTTTGTGAAGGAGATTGCAGTGCATTTTCTGATCTGATCCTTCATTATTCTTTTTGCAGGATGGCTCCAGAAGTAGTAATGTGCGAGACCTCTAAAGACAGGCCTTACGATTACAAGGCTGATATTTGGTCTCTTGGCATTACTTTAATAGAAATGGCTCAAATAGAGCCCCCTCATCATGAGTTAAATCCAATGCGAGTGCTTCTGAAAATAGCAAAATCTGATCCACCTACATTAGCACAGCCTTCAAAATGGTTAGTATTTTATTCACAACTTTCCTACCACAGCCTGTAGATTTTGAGTCTATGGCATGCCCAGTCATCTCTTTGAACTTCTGTTCATGGGCATCGACATGTGAAACTTTATGGGACTAGCTAAGTCAGGTACTTATTCTATACGTGCTTCTACATGTGTATATGTATATACACACACATATATACATATATCTCCTTATACTACTGGGACTATGGTCTTTTTGTTGTAGTTTTGTATAGAAGCTTCCATACTGAAATATTTCAGTGATTTTGCATTAAAATGTATACAAGATAGCTTTTTACAAATGCAGTAGATGATCTGAGGACCACAGAAAAAAAAAAAAAGGTTGAAAAGAAATTAAAGTAATTTTATCCTGAGAAAACATTTTTTAAAGTTGTTGTCCATTTGGGAATTTTAATATCTTTATGTGATTCTGTAGTGATCTAGCTGTGATGTATTATAAATCCGGTGCCAAAAAGAACTCTTTTACTAATGGACAAACATTTTAAAGATTGTGTTTGTTCCACAATGGCCTTTGCATTCCTGTACTATCTTTGTTCCCCTAGATCAGTAGAAGGAGTTGCAGTGTAGATGCGTGTGAAAGCAAAAGAAAATTTCACTAAACGCTAGGTTGATGTCAAGACAAAAGAACACTACCTGTTTGCTTGTTTGTGTAGGTCATCAGATTTTAAAGATTTTTTGAAGAAATGTTTGGAAAAGAATGTAGATGCAAGGTGGAGTGCAACTCAGCTTCTACAGGTAGGAACTATTGTTTAAAGGCAAGCATATTTTGTATTTTTTTTAACAACAGAGCAGTATTATAGTAATATCAAATAATTTCAAATTAAGTGTTTGTACACAATCTTTTAAAACATTTTTGCATTGTTCCTTATTTGGTAAAATGTTATTAAATGATACCAAGTGCAGATCAAATTAATTGTTCACATATTTTGATGTAATATAACTAACGGCTTTGCATAAGTATTTATACTTTGATGCTTATAATGGCTGAAGGAAATATTTACGTAAGTAATCAATTGCTGACAGGTGTTTTAAAAGCTTTAGTGCTCAGCCTTCCTTTATAATGCTGTCACTGCAGAACAGCTAAACAAGAGTAGATGTGACCAGGTACATTTGCTTCTGTTGAACGTCAGCACGCATTTACTTTATCCAGAATATATCCGGCATATGTTGCATAGATTTAAGCAGCAGGGCCAAGCAGAGAAAGAAGAGTCAGACGGCAGGGCAAGAACAGGTAGCTGTTACCTCTTAAATGTAGAATTCTATGTTCTTGTTAGGAAGAATTGTTCTAAAGACAAAGCAGATGTTTTTGTACAAGGGATATTTCTAGATGAAGTTTAACAGAAAATAATTTAACCGTGGAACTGAAATGAAACTAATTTCCAGGAAAAGTAACATTTTAAAAAATCTTTCTACTTCTTTTCTTTGGATTACGAAACAGGTCAGTATAAATGAATTACTTGTATTTTTAGCAAGTTTGTTAGACTACTTACACAGTATATATGGATACAAATGTTTTATATTTAAAACAGAAAAAGAAAACGTTAGGACAGTTATGATTAATGTTAACTGTGAATCTTCAGGTTTGAAAGAACCAAAGTAACATTTCTCTGAAGTTGTATTTCTTTAAGAGAGTTATAATTTTTCCCCTGTGTACAATCAAGTCAGCCCTTCAATATTGTGCTTATTTTTTATTTTCACAAGCATCCTTTTGTTACTGTTACTTCCAATAAACCAATAAGAGAATTGATAGCAGAAGCTAAGGCTGAAGTTACAGAAGAAGTTGAAGATGGTAAAGATGAGGATGAAGAAGAAGAAACAGAAAATTCTCTGGTCAGTTTAAAATTTACTTTTTAAAATATGCAACTAGTTTCAGTAACTAATTTCCTATGGAGAACTCAGTTTCTGATGTACTACCCAACCTCTGTATCGAGTCCTCTAAGAACAGTAACATAAACATACTCTAACCTTATGACAACATACATAGTCAGCATCTTCAAAATTAGCATATTCTTAAACTCCTGAAGAACTTATAATAAAGAATATTATCTAATATTATCTTCATTAATTTTTACAGGTATATGTGGTGTCGAATTTTAAAAATCAGATATACAAATGGTTTTAAGTAAAAACAACTAGATGAATGAGTAGACATATAATTTGTATTCTGTAAGATGCTTGAAATATTAAGGAAGATATCTGACCATTATGCTATAAACTAAGTTTGTGATTTTACAGCATGACTGTCGTAGAAAAAACAAAAGCAAGAAACCCCATATTTTACCAAGAGAGGATTGCATTTCTGAATATATTTCTAGAGATGCTTAAGGATCTTAAAACACAAATAAGTTCCTCAAAGGGCAAAGGCACGAAGTTCAGTGGTAGGGCTGTAGGTTGCAGAGTTTACAGGTAGTGTGCTTTCTGACTTAACTGGCTTAAGCATTATTAGACACGGACAGTGACCAGTACCACCAGTAGCTGTCATTACCAGCAGTGGTGAAGAAGACCGGTGCATGTGCCCAAGAAGCACACCTCCATTTCCTCCTTACCCTTCCTTCACCACGCTAGTCATGTCTTCTCGCCTTCATACCACGTTCCCTGTCGGCCCCAGCAGATCTGCAAGTGCTCATTCCCTCCAAATGCCTCCAGGACTTGCTCTGTGTCTCCTAAGGCATCACCCACCACCTCCCTCCACTGGTCAGCTGCCAGGCCGTCCTCCCGTCTCTGCGAGGGTTGGAGGGAGCTCCACCCTGAGCCACAGTTAAGTGTCTCGACACATGCAGCAGTTTAGGAAGTCGTGGGATTGATGTTTTTGCATTATTTCCTTGTGGTAGTTGTTTTAAAACTGCTTGGAGACCAACAGTGAACTTCTAGAACAATTATGTGAAGAAATCTTTTAAATGCACGTTTGACTTAAAAGGAGATGTTTTCTATATGCTTGGGAAAACCTTAAGGTAGGAATCAGGGAATCAAACCTGCTCTTGTTACAATAGCTAACCTGCTGTGTTCCAATAGCAAATCAGAAGCCTGATCTGCAAATTACAGGGTTCTAACAGTAAATATAGACAGAGAGATACCACAATCACTTTGAAGAGTGAAAGGGCAATTATTATTAAAATGATGCTTTATTGCTATATTCTTTTGTATGTCTGTATGTAATCTGATAACATTCATTCATATTCCGGCAGCAGCACAATTTCTACAGTTATGTAACTGTTTCTGTTCCAGTTCTGTATTGCCATTTAATCAGATCTGCTGGAGGTTTTCACCATTTTAATGGAGTTCCACTGTGATTAAAAAATTTCAGGCATTTTTTACAAAGAACACGGGGAAGGTATTCCTATTGATGAAGCAGAAGGTGGTTTTAATGTTGCAGTTTATCAATGCTGGGCTGAGTAAAACTACACAGCTTATTCCTAGCCAAACTGGCACAACGATAAGTGTCTTTCAGATCCAGATGTAGCTGGGACCACTGGGGAAACGAACTAAGAAGAAGAAACCAAAAAAACCTTGATGTGATTAGAAAAAGGTGCCCGAAGATTCTGTTAAGTGTGAGGCAGGGAGCTGACCATGTTCCCTTTCCTTCTGTCACAGTATATTTTATTAAATTATAGGAGATGGAAGAGGGTTCTTGTGAAACTGTTCTGTTCAGAGCCTGCCTGCAGTTCATGCACTTTTCTGTGGTAACACCAAGTGAAGTACTCTGACATTATCAAATTAATATAACTCTGCCTGTAAATAAAATATTAATTTCTTTTTAGGTAGTCTTCAATAGAGTTATGCTTTAAGTTAGACAAGTATTAAATATTTTGCTTCCTTTAATTTTTAGCAATTACCTGCGGAGAAGCGTGCATCCTCTGACCTTAGTATTGCCAGCTCTGAAGAGGATAAACTTTCACAGAATGCCTCTGTTCTGGAGTCTCTTTCTGAGAAAACAGAAAGCAATGTGGTTGAGGACAAAGTCAGCACTGTATTTCCAGATGACAAAACAACTGGAGATGAATCTGAGGACATTAAATTTAGAAAAACAACTGATAACCTATATGATACTGCTGGTGGTGATATGAAAGTGCAGAATGGTTCTGTGCCAACTGGTAAAGATGAGCAAGGCAAAATAATGCCAGCTGAAAAGAATGCAGAAAGCATGGAAAAACCACATGAAGATACGGACCCCCAGAAAGGAGGGGAAGAACTTGTGGTAACAAAATCAGAACAAAAGGATGAACCCAACCTAAAAATAGAGCAAGAAAATGACACGGGAAATGAGCAGGCAGAAGATAATAAACTGAAAATAGTATCTACAGCTGAAAAGAGTGTTGAAACTGAAGTAGTCATTTCAAAGGAAACTGGTGAAAAAGAGGAGGAGGAGAACGGAACAGATCTCTCGGAAATTAAGGGAGAGAAGGTCCCCGCAGAAAACAGCGCGGAGCAAAAGGAAGATAGAGGTACAGCTCAGAAAGAGGTGATAGCAGACACCACTGCACAAACACTGCCTAATGCTGGAGATAAAGGGGCTGATGAGGGAAAGGAACTCGGAAAGTGTGGAATTGATAACATTAAGGAGATGGGTGGTATTGCTGAAATACAGATCAGTGATGGGGATAAAATACCTGAGACGGAGGATAAGCCAGTGGAAAGTCAGGCTAAGCAGGTACATGAGATAATCAGCTCTGAAGAAACTCTGTCGGAAAGCCAGGATAAAGCGATCAGCGTAGACGAGAAACTGGCAGAAAGTGAAAATAAGGATATTGGTAATATAAGAAGCATGGAGGAAACAGAGGTCAAAGATTCTGGAAAAGATGATGTAGACCAGAAGGCAGTACAGAGCAAGCCTGAGGATAGTAAAGTGGGGGATAAACTGACTGATGGGAGCCAAAATTCAGAAGAGCTCAGACCTGAGAATATCCAGGAAAACAATACTCAGGTAGACAAAGACCACTCAGAAGTTACTTCCCATGAAATAATGAAAAATAAGCTTCAAGATACCGTCAGTGAACAAGCTGATGACTCTGAAGTCACTCCAGTCCCCAGTATTAGTATTAGCACTGAAGAAAATGAGAAGGTCAAAACAGATAATCAAGACAATACTGAAACTTTACAGCAGCTAGATTTGGAGAATTTGAAGGAAAATGATGCAGATTCAGGCACTGGTTCTACGGCTGATAACAGCAGCATCGATTTGAACTTGTCGATTTCTAGTTTCCTTAGTAAAAACAAAGAGACAGGATCAATATCTTTACAGGTAAGTAGAAGCAATCATATATTTTTCTATAAAATCCTATGTAAGTGTGACCCTAAAATTATCTTGAAGTTTAACCTTTGCAACAAAGATAAGTACTGAGAGAGGAACTAGTATGACAGCTTGGAATGTAAATCTTTTGGAGAAACCAGAATGTTCTAAACCTTGCACTCTAACAGTGTCTGATTTCGTGCAGTTATGCAGCAAAGCTGGAAGCTACAGAGCTGCTGATCGTTTTATGATTTTATTGCATAATTGTATTTAAAAAATGTAGGTGAGCATATAATACGAAGTATATGCTAAAGGTGAAGATTTGTGAATGGTTGTAATTCAGACCTGATATTCAAGAGGACTGGTTCAGTGCCTTGCTCTGCCCAGAATCTCTTGTTGAACAGAACAAATCTCTTAAAACATCTAATCTTATATGGAATTCCTGCCACTTCTGTCTTCTGTTTCTTTGTTTAGATTTAGAAGATCTAAGGCAGACAACCTCTTAGGCTTGTTTATTCCAAATGCTGTGCTCTGATAGCTGCACTACATTGATGCAGTTGTGACAGTATGAATGAGCTTATTCAGAGGAAGAAAATTCCAGCTTATGAACTTTATAGCTTTATACCAGTAAAATTATAACCATGCTGGGATAGTAAACTGTGGGTTTAGAGAAGAAAAAAACAAACCTAACAGAAAAAAAAAATAACTTCAAGGTGTTCACAGTAGCTCTAATATATAGTAGGATGCAGTTTCTTCTCTGATAATGAAACAATAGCAGCTCTGAGAAGTAAGATTTCTCTAATTCTATTGGAAAGATCATCACATGATGTTTGACTAATATACATGAATAAAAACAAATAAACTTGCTTGTTTAATTTATTTCCAAAGCAGAAGTAAGTAGATGAGTAAATTGATACTCACTTTCAGTACTTTTTTTCCAGAGTTGAATACCTTTTTTGGTGACTAGAGTAATTAGAGTCAAAAGTAAGCAGTAATTGCCTCTATCTTCAGCTTCTGAGAATAAAACTGCATTGGTTCTGTTCAGGGGTTATCTAGGGTTCTTTGTTTTAGGTTGTTTTTTTTTTTCTTTCTGGCAATTTAAATGACCAATAATTACAGTTCTCCTTTGCTGACAAGATAGAGTTTCAGTATATTGCAATTTTTCAAGCTCTCACTTGATTAGTGAGGTACCTGCTAAGCTAGAACTCCTGATTACTGTATGGTAGGCCTTCACAGAAATATTTGAAGTAATTTAAGGAAAAAAAATAACTTAGCAATGCTTTTTTGCAGGAAACTAGAAGACAGAAGAAAACTTTAAAGAAAACTCGGAAGTTTGTTGTTGATGGAGTAGAAGTGAGTGTAACCACATCAAAAATAGTTACTGAAAATGACTCCAAGAGTGAAGAGATGAGATTTCTACGGTAAGTGGTTTTAAAAGTAAAATTAAAAGATGCTAGCACCTTTTTTTTCTTTGAATAAAAGAAGGGGTTAATGATCTTGTTTCTGTAACATTTGTGGATTAATTTCAATTATTTTGTTAATAGAAAGAAATGTAAAGTGTTTCTTTAGACAGCAATTCAAAACTAGCTTCAGTGAATGCAAATTGTACATGAGGTTTTTTTCATTGTCTGTAACTTTCCACTTCTTTTGTTTTCCATTAATATTGAGTGTTCTTTTTCGTTACTAGACGTCAAGAGCTAAGAGAGCTAAGGCTACTTCAGAAAGAGGAGCAGAGAGCCCAACAGCAACTCAGTAATAAGCTTTTGCAACAACGAGAACAGATATACAGACGTTTTGAACAGGAGATGACAGTGAGTTTCTGGATTTTGGTGCTCTTGTGACATCTGATGGAGTAGGCAGAATACTACTAGCAGCAATCAGGTTTTCCTCTTGTGATGGCTATAGCTTAGTTTTCATTCTTGTTAATGACAATTATTTTCCCTTGCGAGGTGGCCAGCTTGTATGCTAGAACTCACCTGCCAGAACAGTTCATCATGGCTATCCTCTGCTGTGCTACAGTACTTCACAGAATTTAGATATCTAAATAAAGATGCCGAATTATTTTTACAGAGTAAAAAGCGACAGTATGATCAAGAAATAGAAAATCTAGAGAAACAGCAGAAACAGACAATAGAGCGCTTGGAACAGGAACATACAAATCGTTTACGAGATGAAGCAAAACGCATCAAAGCAGAACAGGAGAAGGAATTGTCCAAATTCCAGAATGTGCTGAAGAACAAAAAGAAGGAGGTAAGAGACAATGATGATAATGTGGAAAATAAGGCGTGTGGGCCTAGCGAACAGTTGAGATCAGGTCTCCCAGAAGCCTTGTTAACCTCATGTGCTGTGCTCAGTTGTGAAAGGGTTACTAGCAGACAGAATTATTTCTGTTGTTCTACTGCCTAAAGTGAAATACAAACAGCTAACAGGAGGATTTAGGTATTGACTTAGTCTAGAAAGCATCACCTAGTTAGATTTTTTTATAACGTATCTTCTCTCAAATATCAAATCAAGAAACAGTATTTTCTTAAAGATTGTGAAAAACGTGTGAGAGTTCTGCGTTAAACAAATCCAGTTGTAGCTACTTAGTAAATACTTATCAAATGAGAGTTTTGAGGAAAAGAGTATGATCTTGATTCCTACTGAGAAGCACTTAAATTCCAGAGATTTGAGGGTTTTTTGTTAATTTGTTACATTTTTATTGAAAGTGTGCTGTTGTTGGTTAGGATATCTTTATATAAAGTGACAGCGGTTAGGCGGATTTAGTTTTTAACTCAAAAAGGAAAGCCAGGAGAGAAAAGTCTGGATAACCTAAAGTTTGTTAATGGTTAATTTTGTACATGTCATACCATTAAGGCCAAATGAGTAACATTTGACACTGCTACCTTATGCTAGTAATTTGCCTGCATTAGAATTAGAGAAGATGATGTGTTTCCATATGGATTTTGCATCTTAAAAGCTGTTTTATTTAATTTTCAGATCAGTTGTCTATTGCTCATTTGTTTATAAATGGCTCTAGCATTTGCTCTAATAGTTACTAGAGAGATTTCTTTAGAAATCTGTACTGTCCATGCTTTTGCATAGAATGATCCTGTAGTACAAAAGTGCATAAAAAGTCATATTCAGTTTAAACCGTATGCTCATATGTAAATAACAATTTTTTATTCTTTTGCGGTACCTCTTGCATTTTTGAGTCTCTCGCTGTTTACTGGTGATTGGGTCCTACATGGGAAAGCGGGAAGAATTTTATATATTGCTTTGAGCTAAAACCGATTCTTTCGTGGAAACAGGAATAGCATGTGGTGATTTGGACTCTATTTTCTGATGATGCTTCCACTATTCAACAAACAGGCCTTTGTTTTGGGGTGCTTAGTTTTGTATTTAAAGCTTCAGAAGGCAATTTACAGTTTGAAGGAAAATGCAGCTGGTGCTCTAAAACTACCCATGCTATATTCAAGTGTGCAATGCTTTATTTTTATAATTCTTAAAAATAAATAAAACACATCAGCAAATTAACAGATTAATAGTCAGTTGATTTAGCTAGGTTATATTTAGAATCCTTTGGCTAATCTAGTCTAATACAACTTGGACTGAAACATGTTTCGTTCCAGTATGTCATGAAAAGTTTCTTGAAAACGTACTCAGTTATTGATGGGTCTTGCTTTTAAATTCTTCTGAACCAAACACTTACAACCAATTAATATTTTATTTCCATGTATGATTATTTTAAAGACATAACTTGTGTAGATGTCATTGACAGTTGGAGACACTAATAATGACATCATACAAATTCATGTTTGAGACAGTGTCAGTAGCAGCTGGGTTTTGGTGGAAGTTCTTTTAGACTTCCAACCATTTTTCACAGCTTTACCACAAGGTAAATGTACTCTGTAGTCCTTTTGCCAGAGTGCTTCAAGAAAATACCACTTCTGCAGGTGGTGGTTTTCTTAACCCTTCAGTATTGTAGCTGCTGCATGGAACCGCAACCAGGAGACTGCCTTTTCTGAGAGCACGGGGCAGCGTTTGCATGCAAAGAGGCTGGCCTGTACCTCCTTTCTGCACTGCGCTGGCGTACATAAAGCACGTTTTGTTCCTTCTCTTTTCATTAAGCTCTTTTCACTAAACTAACATCCCTGCCACTGAAGTAACGCACGCTTCCCAGTACCTCTAGTGCTTGACCTGCATGTCCTGTGTTCACAGTAATGCTTGCTGTGGAGAAAAAGTGTTCTTTTCGCCACCTTCTGCATGCTTATATACACTGTAGGTTTTATGTGAAGTGGAGAAAGCACCAAAAGAGCTGAGAAAAGAGCTCATGAAACGCAAGAAAGAGGAGCTTGCACAAAGCCAGCATGCTCAGGTAACAACGGCAGCTTCAAGCTACTAAAATACGAAAGGCAGCAGTATTCACACAGCTTGATGATTTCACTTCTTGTTGTTGTTGAGTGAATATGGAACTTAACTCGAACTAACCCTACGTACTGCTCTCTTTCTTCAAGTACTCCTATATCACACCCTATAGAGTATGCTGTGTAGACATGTAGGAGCAGCTATTTCCAGGTTTGTGCTCTTAGGTGTAATATTTTGTATGCTGTACCGAAACAGAATGGTGTTTTTCCACAGCGAGTTTATTTACAGAGATTTTAAGAATGGTAAGTACCCCATAGCTCCATCAAATTATAAAGGTTACAGTCAGAAGTAAATTTGGAGTGATATAAGCACAGGGGAGGAAAATGTATATGATGTGTAAGCATAAAGCATCTTGTTCACAGAAGCCAAACAAATTAGGTGAAATAAAGTTATTTAAATGTCAAAGTGTAGGTGTATGGAAACTTTACGAGACATCATCTGTAATTTCACGCCTTCAGACTTCTTGCTTTTATAGGTCCCAGCTAGAAAGGGGGACAGTGTTTTAATAAAGTATTGGCTTTGAGATGGCCACAGCTAATGCAGAGTAAGTTTGAACAACAGCAGAACAGGTTTGGATTGAGCAATTTAAAGATTAAATGTTTATGTGAGTGACCTGGTAGAAAATAGTAACTTTATTCAATTACATGTTTAATTCAAGAGGGGATTTTCCAGGATAGAACGTGATTGAGTTGTAGCACTCTCCCCATATCAAGGTTATGTGTCTCTGAACTTTTTATGGAAACAATTAAAAACTGAAATTTTCATAGTGTTTATAGTGACTTCGTTTGTGTCCTTCCCTGATTTCGATTTGTTGAAATAAGGAGGTGAAAGAGACAATTTTAAAGGCGAAATATCCTTACTTGGAATAATAAATACGTGACAAGGTGCAGATGTTTAGTTTGAGAATATCTGGAACTTCTGTCAGTGACTATATTTGTGTGATTAGCCTTGACATTTTACACGCGTATTATTAACATACAGCAGATCTTATTTCTTCTTTGTAAGAACAGAAATATATTTCATTATATTCTGACGTAGGAAGTACATTGTGTCCCACAGGGCGTTGCTCAGGTTATGATTCAGTCTTTTCAGTTGTCTTCATGTACACTTTTCAACGCACAAATGCAGGATGTAAGTCTTAAAATATGAAACAACAGAAGTTTATTTCCCTAATTTTCCAGATGTGTGGTTTCTTTCCTTCTTCTACTCATATGTGCTGATCAATGTCACTGCTGTCACCGGGCTAGTTAGCACAAATTTATGTATCTGTGCACTGTTCATAGTGAAAGGATCAAAATTATGGTAGTTGCTGCTACTGGGCAAGACACTGAAGTTTCACACAAGTGCAATACAATATTGTTCTCTAGTGTTCATTATTTGTTCAGCACATGTGAGAAACAATGTGTGACTTCTATACTGTGTGTGCAGTGAAATAATGTATTATAAACATATCTGAGTTTATTTTGAGATACTGGGCAAAATCTAATTTGAAAGAGGTGGACTGCCTTTCACTGTCTGCCTTTTAAGCATCCAGCATGTTCTTTAGTAAAGCCTGTGACCTCTGTTCTGTGTGATATTTGAGTAGTTGTGGGACTTGGAAGGGCTGGAATGCTTTCTGCGGTTGCCTGGTTTATCTTCTAGTGCTAGCAGTTATGAAACTTGGTAAGATTTACCATGTAGAGAGAGCAGCGATGATATTTACATGATTGGGTAAAGCTCAAGCATGATGGGGTTTTGACCATGACTGCACTACAACAAGTTTCCCGCCACTCCCTCCAAATCAAAAAATTCCTTGCAAATTAAACAGTGTTTTAATTACATGTCAGCACCCTCAGAATAATAAAATTGTAGTTTTCTTATCCTTTTCATCTAGAAAGAGAAACAGAATAGTGTATTTCATCAGTCCCCATCTTTGGTTAGGTATGTCTGACTTGATTTACAGACGTGGCCTTCCAGATGTTTTTGCACACTCAGGTCTGTCACTGCCAATTTACTCCATCTCTGGCTTTCTGTCACCTGTCAAAGCCTAACTGCTGTCCGCCGGGAGAGATGAAAGCCTCACCTGTTAATAACTTTCTGTGAAAATGAAAACCAGGATTCTCCTGGACATAATAAAAAATACTTTTAATGAGCATTTAATTCCATATGTTGCTGACAACAACATATAGCGTAGGTTCAATAAAAAAAGAAAAGTACATAGCTCTTCTAGTGATCGTCCATAGCTCACTACTGTTCTCCTGCTTCATTCCATCTCCCTTCCAGTAGACCATCTTTAACGTTGCTTTGTTATGTATAACAGCAAATGCTTCAGCTGCCCAACTTGGCTCTGGTAGGACACTGTCGTCTTCCTTTGTTTTGACCTTTATATCGTAGTAGAAACACCTGCTTTAATTTCTTGTTCTTAAAAGTGTGTATGTGCATGCTTGCATGCTTGCAGATGCTTTTTTTTTTTCCTTTTTTTTTCCTTCTTTTTTGGTAACTGCAAAGAAGAAAGGCAACAGCATGGTCTTGGGGCATGAGAGGAGAATTCTTTTCATCATGGGATGCAACAGTGGTACACCCCGGATGGATAATGGGGGGATGTGGGTGGTACGGGGACTGCATCAGGTGGATGGCAAATCTCTTTGCAAGGAGCTGGTTCAGCTCTGGTGTGACAAGCCTGCAAGTCCTGCAGAGGGCAGTTTCTGCGAAAGCCGTTGGGTGTCTTCATAGCAGTCCTGCAGAACTCCCAACCTCAATGTCTTTGTGTCATGACAAGATAAACCACTTGAGATTGAGGCAAAACTCTGCAACCCATCTGTGTAAATAAATAGGCTTTAATTAATCATCTAAAGCAAAGTGACCTTACAGCATTTTATTTTCTTACATCCATGGAATATAAACCCTTGATATGATGTGATCAATTCTATATTGAGTGCTTGTCTTTGCTAGCTTTGAACCTGCAGCTTGTTTTGAGGAGAGACAAAAGGTGGAATGAATTGCACATTGCTGGCTAGCTTGTTGCCTTTGGTCTTATTTCTGAAGGTATTATTTAAACATTAAATATACTCTTACCTATCTCTATGTAGAAAATACAAGAGATGCATCATTTTATAATCAAAGCATGTTAGCTCAAATTTTCATAGATGTATTTGTTTTCATATATAGCTAGTGCTGAGAGAACTGGGAGTTTCATTAAAATGTAATGTGGTTAGAAGAACACAATTTAATTTCTCTCTATTGGTTTTTACCAGGAGCAGGAGTTTGTGCAGAAGCAGCAACAAGAACTGGATGCATCTCTGAAGAAAATTATTCAGCAGCAGAAGACAGAACTAGCCACTATTGAACGAGATTGCCTCAACAACAAGCAGCAGCTCATGAGAGGTATCCAGTGGCAGCCTCTCTCTTTCAAAGCAGATGTTTGTGTTGTATTTTAATAAAACAACAGCCTGTCTTAAATTTATGAAGTGAAACACCTTTATGAGTAATTTAGAACTGTAATAACAACATGTCCTATGGAATAGCATTGTTCTTGGAATGCACTTTTAGGCTGTTTCTAAACATACACTAGCAGGTCGATTAGAACGTACTTTCTGCATTGTCCTTTCTGAATGAGCCTTCCCCTTTTTTCCAGCACGCGAAGCTGCAATCTGGGAGCTGGAAGAGCGACATCTACAAGAGAAGCATCAGCTTCTCAAGCAGCAACTCAAAGATCAGTACTTCATGCAGAGACACCAGCTGCTCAAGAGGCATGAAAAAGTTAGTGTTGACTTCGATGCTTTCTTTTGTGTTTTATCTGAGGTTTTTATCAAGTAGTCTTACGATCTCTGCTGGTGGATGTTTGCTTGCGTAGGCAAGACCCACAGAAGTATTTTGAAGCTCTATATGTTACGCTGCAACAAAAAAATCTTAATTATCTTACCTAAATAACTTAGTAGTATGTTGCAGTATAAGCGGTAGTATTTTTCCCTTTTGATTCTTAAAAAAAATAAATCCAGCTACAACACCAACCTTCTTCTATTAAAAATACCAAATTCTGCTTATACACCAAACCCATTTTTTTTGTCTTTAAGTAGATCTAATCATTAGTAAATCATCCTGGAAATAAACGAGCAGAATGAACTGGATTAGCTTTTGGGCAAGTAACTGAAAACTGTCTCTTTATAGCTAAATCCTCTAAAAGCCCAGAAGACAATGGATATTTTCTGCAAGACATTTTGTTTTTTATAGAGTACGCTAAACAGAATAGTTCAGTTTTTGAGATTGTAAACCCCTAGAGAGATACTGCAGGATCTCCTTGGGGATTGGAGCATGAGCAGCCTCCCTTGAGGATTTGGTTTCTCCCCGTTGTGTCTGTTGCTTTCACCAGCTTTTGCAACAAACTGACCCTTCACAACTGCAGTAGTGGAAGTTCAGTTTCACAAGAGTTTCTTCCTTTGAATAACAACACAGACTTTTTAAAATGCAGTTCAGGAGCTTGAACAACCACTGGTAAAATATATTTGTATTTGTATTCATTAGAGCATTTAATGTGAGTTGGGCATGATCCAAAGCTCTCTGGAATAAGTGGAAGACCCCCCCTTTGGCCACTGATAGCATTAGGACTGGGCCTGGTTTCTGTTGAAAGAAGCTGACTCCAACAGCATGCTTATTGATGAAATGAGATGCAAATGTTCTAACACCGTAGTTACTCTCTAACATTTCCATATGGTTAATGTTTTAGGAAACAGAACAAATGCAGAGATACAATCAACGCCTTATTGAGGAGTTAAAGAACAAGCAAACTCAGGAACGAGCGAGACTGCCTAAAATCCAGCGAAGCGAAGCAAAGACTCGAATGGCTATGTTTAAGAAAAGTTTAAGAATCAATTCCTTAGCCTCTCCAGACCAAGATCGTGAAAAAATTAAGCAGGTAATTAATAAAAACAGTTTTAATAGTGTAAATGCAAGAATATAGTAGAGCACACTCTCAGCAAGTTCATAGATGAAACAAGCCCAGGTTGATGCACTGGATGAGGTCAGAGGAAGTCATCACACCCCTCTGCACTGGTGAGTCTCTTCTGGAACTCTAGGTCCAGTCCTAGGCTTCCCAACATGAGACAGACATGAATTTACTGGAGCGAGTCCTGTGAAGGGCCTTGGAGATAAGTGAGGGACTGGTGGGTCTCGTTATAGTAGGACACTCTGGGGATACCTGGGATGCTTCAGCCCAGAGGAGAGAAGGATTTTAGCCATGGGTACAAGTACCCAACGGGAAGTAGTAAAGAAGGTGGGAGCCAGACTCTTCTCACAGGTGCTTGGTGATACGGTGAGAGGCAGCAGGCACAATCAAAATACAGAAAAATCAAACTTAAACATGGCAGGAAACTTCCTTCAGTGTGAGGATGGTCAGACACTGGGACAGGGTTGCCCACAGATGTTTTGGAGATACTCAGAACCCAACTGGACACAGTCCTGCACAACCTGCTCGAGTTGACCCTGCTTTGAGCTGGGGAGTTGGTCTTTGCAGGTCCCTTCCAACCTCAGCCATTTATGTGAATCAGTGAAATATTTTTAAGAATACTTGATTTTTGAGAGCTTTTGAACTAAAACTGTGCGTGTTCACTCATTCTTTAAAAGGGAATGTAGTGAAGAATTTTAGAGGTTTCCTTTCTACTGATGCACGGAAGTCTCAAATCATGGTTTTATAAGGTGAGCACTGGAAGGATGAAGAATCTGGAAAATACTGTCTCCTGTAGCTGTATAACACCAACCTTAACCGACACTAGTAGCATCACTGCTGTGTCACTTAGATTCAAAGGGAGATACTTTAAGGAGGCTGGAAGTGTAACGTAATGTGTTTTAAGGAAAAATTAGAGTGCAGACAGAGAAATAGGGTGATAGACAAAACCATGAGGGCATTTTCTTTATAAGAATTTTTGAAAAGAAAGAATAAAGAAAACACAGTCATTGTTTAAATCTTTTTAAACCGTTCGTTTCAGTTATGCTGTATGTATTCGTTCTGTTACATACAGTTTTTTGACTCGTAAACTGTTCTATCTAGAGGCACAATATAACTATCTTTATATTTTTAATTTTAGTTTGCCGTTCAGGAAGAAAAAAGACAGAAGAACGAGAGACTGGCTCAGCATCAGAAACACGAAAACCAAATGCGGGACCTTCAGTTGCAGTGTGAAGCAAACATCAGAGAACTTCATCAGTTACAGGTTAAAAATAGATTATATTAAATGAACATTCAGTGGGAAGACTCAGGTTAATAACAGATGCAGGCAAGGTAGAAACATGTTTTCCTTCATTTTTACTGATTGCTGGAGGCTTTTTTCAACTTTGCTTCCAAAGGCCTGCAGCATACTGCTTGACCAGATTCATATGCTTATGTCAATTAATGAGAAATCATTTTAAATGCAAGAAGAGCATGAACCAGAAGCAGATGATCATTTCTAGAATATCTGTCAAGTTCCCAGTGCTGTTTTCTGTAGGCAATGTTTCCTTTTAACCTGATTTTGCTGAAATGTCGTTAATCAGAATGGAGACAGGCTGCACTGGGCATTACCCACAAGACATCTGTAGCAGTATGCGGAACGAGGTAGTTTGTACAGAGTGTGGGCTGCTGTTTGTACTTGAGCTCCTGGAAGGTATTTAGAAGGAATTCTCTTCTTGCGATAAGGAACTCTATTTTGTCTCTTTTGGTATGCATTTTGCAAAAATTGCTGCTCTGTGCTAGAGGCCAGATCTCCTTTTCCGTTAAATCGGCTTGTCCCCATTTCAGGAACACACAAGGCAGTTTTAGAGCATTAAATGATCACCTGCTGATAACCTTTGCGTAGAGAAATCTTCCAGTGGCCAATGAAGCTGGTTCTGCTCTGTTTGCTTCCTAAGGTTCTGCGAAAACAGTCCCTGACTGTGCCACTAATACGCCTCGGCAAATCCCCAAGTACCGTGGGAGTCTTGTGAGAGTTTCAGCTCAAGTAAAATTGAGCAGATTAGGGCTACTTTGAGCTTCGCTGAGGAGAATTGGCCCCTGCACTCAGGTCTAGCAAAACGCTTGCCATTCCGTGTTCCTGTGTTCTTATATTCTGCACCAGACCCAGCTGGGACAGGAGCAAGAACATGGGATTTAGTGACTGCTGTTGCCAGCAGCTCTTAAAAATTTGATTTAGCCAAAAATTTTTTTTTTTTTTCCTACCATGCTTCAAAGGTCCTCTGAAAGCCAGGCGGCGCTTGTGAACCTTGCTGAGAGGAATGTGAAGGTCATGTGTGGTTTGACCATCCGTTTCACAGGGTGGTTCTGAGGTTGCATCTGCAAGCCCATTTCTCTCCTCTTAAAGTCCCTTTTGTTAGTCTCAGCTCCTTGACATCAAGAGTTGAAATATTTCCAAAAAATTACCTCCTTTTTAGTGTAATTGGTTTTGATGAATTATACAAACTGTCTTTAGAAAGCAAAGCAGATATGCTGTTATGACCTTGAAAACCATTATTAGGCAGTGAAACACAGTTTTGGGTAACTGTCAGCTGCTGCATTAATGAGACCCCACAGTAAATTTGGATTTACCAGTATTTCTTATCTCAGTTGGTTCTGATGGAAAGATCAGCTTTTGATAATGCAGCCCTGTAACATACTTTTATCTTGTAATTATTCACGTCACTATTTACACGGAATAAGCTAATTAAAAAGAATTAGGACAACATATGTCGCTGTACAAATGTTGAGTTGCCTAATCTGAATTAGTTTTACATAAGGATTATCTTTATCTTGTTTTAAGAATGAAAAATGCCATCTACTGGTTGAGCACGAGACTCAGAAGCTTAAAGAGCTGGATGAAGAGCACAGCCAAGAACTGAAGGAATGGAGAGAGAAATTGAGGCCAAGAAAAAAGGTAAATCAGAGCAGTTTAGGAATCAGAAAATCCTGACGAGTTGGACCTAGCAAGTACAGACAACACAAAAAGTGTCGCAGAAGAGGAGACTCAAGCTACTGTACAAAAGTGCTGTAGTTTGCTGAATAGTGAAAGATGTTAAAAAAAGCAACGTGCTAAAGCGGAGCAAGGGTATGTGCTGCAAAAAAGGCTTCTGTGCCATCACCCTCTTAGAGGGCTCCCTCTTGCAGCACATGTGTGCATACCTGTATGTAAAACTTCTTGGCTGGAGGTAAATCTGATGTAGGAATATATTTCAGAAGGCAGTAGGTTCCTACAGCAACTGAGTGCTAAACAACAGAGAGAGGGTGGTGGAAGTAGATTGGTTTGGGGGTTTGTATTTTATTTTAAAATGGAAAGTACTAGATTTTCACGAAACTCACAGTGTCTCCCGTGAGCAGATGATGTCCTTAGTTTGCAGTGGCTTGCGTGGCCTGCAGTTTCATAACTGCTAGGTGATTTTGTGTGTGTGTGTGAAGCTATGATGTTATATCAGACGATAGGCCACCAGTATAATAGCTTTCTTGTAGCTTGCCTTGTAATCCTGTGACAATCTGATTTTGGTTTTAGACGCTGGAAGAAGAATTTGCCAGAAAATTGCAGGAACAGGAAGTTTTCTTTAAAATGACTGGAGAATCCGAATGCCTTAACCCTTCCACACAAAGCCGGATTTCCAAATTCTATCCGATCCCCAGCCTTCACTCCACTGGGTCGTAACTCTGGGAACTGCTGTAGGTTTTTTCATATTTGGAGTTCTCCATCCTCATCCTTTAACCTGACTTAATCTGCGGCGTAACGTCCAAGGACCTGACGCTTTTTCTTTTTAGTGGAGACAATCAACGTCTTGATCAGTTTCTTCTCCGAGCGGAAGAAAAGAAAAAAGGTGTTGGTGTATAACGGTAACATTACGTCCTTCAGATGTTTCAAGACTAAGTGGGGTTTTTATCTCCATCTCAAAAAGTATGTTATCTATGGTTTTGACTTTAAGCCTAAAATATTAACTATACTCCTTCTGATCACAAAAAAATGGTTTCTCATGTGAACATCTTAACGGTGTAATAATAGTTCTGCTACTGTGTTTTTAAGTGTCTGAATTCTGCGCGAGAGAATCCCGCAGCTGAAACTGCCGTTGAGAGGTTTAAAATTCTATAATGAGCAGTGTCTTCATAGCAAGGACTGAAACTAATTACTGAGAACACGCCAATAATCAGAAAAATAACCCCTTATTTTTAAACATGATTGGTAAAAGCAAAAGCCTTTGCAACTTCTTTAAAAAGAAACCTCTGGCATAAATTAAACTGAGCTGATCTCCATGACATATTTTGTCCATTAGTTCCAGAATGAAATGGGGTGCTAGTTTAATTAATACAGTGCCTGAAACACTTAGATATGCTAATCCTGGCAACACGATAGTGTTTTGTCATTAAAAAAAAAAAACAAACAGAACTCCTTAGCGTTGTCGTTACTGTACAAAAGAGAAGATTTCTTGCTGCTACTGCCATGTTTGTTGTAAATCCTCACCCTAAAATATTTTGCACTAAAATATGTAAAGGTGAAAGAAATGCTAACTGTAAAATGCACAGTTTATTATTTTCTGTAGCTGTTACAGGTGGTTAGTTCTACAAACTGAAAAATTGTAGAATGTATTTTTTAGAAAGCGGTGTGCAAAATGCGTGCGGTTTCTCTAACTGTACCTGGTATGGGTAGAGCCATTTGTCTGTTCTTACCAAAGCCTGGTCATTTAAACTCCATTAGGAAAGTGGAGGTGGATGGTCATATTTATAACTAACCATGGCTAAAGTCTGATTTGATTAGAATTGTTAGATTTGATTATTTTTTTTTTTATTTTAGTCATTTTATTTTTTAGAAAGATTTAAGTTAAATATATAGACTTTATGAAGCTCGGTTTTTTGCTTTTGTGTTGCCACGTGCTAACAGAGACGGTTTTTCTTTTTCAAGTTCATAGATGTACAATAACTTATTTACTTGATGGATCTGCAATGGAAAAATCCGAAATGTTTCTCATATAGCTGGTAGGGAAATACAGCTGTGTTAGGTCCCTTTTACTGCGCTCCTGTCGGTGGTTAGAGTTGGAGTCATATCAAGACAGTGTCACAGGCTGTCCTTGGGTAGGCTGGAGTTCAGTTTGTTAAACTGTATTTGCTTTCTGTCATTCGAGGCCTGACTTTTCTAGTCTCTTTGGGTATCAGCTGTAAAGGTTTTGCTTTGCTAGCTTGCAGTAAATGTGCAGCTGGTGGCAGTTACACCGTGTTCGTTTCATGGGAACAGTATTGATGCATACGAATGAACTCAGAAATTAACACAGGACTTGAATCAGACGTGGTTGAAATCTTGGAGGCTGAAATCCTTGGACGTTGAACCAATACCTTCTCAGTGAAGACACTTAATTTACAGCACAGTAAAAAAAATAAATTGGAAATGCATGTTTTAATTTAAATTTTGTAACTTCTTGATAGCATAATTACTTTAATAGCTAGCCTTAATTTCTGGCATTTTATTATATAAATGTGTATTGTGTACTGTTGTAAATTCACATACCATATCTCTAGAATGTTACCTGTTGCGAAATGCAAGGTTCTTTAAGTTGTTTATTCCGTAGGGTGAAAAATGTCTTTGAAGGCCTTTTACTTTCTAAGTTCCATCATCATAAATTGACTGTTACTACAATAACATTAAATAATCTCCATCTCTGTATTTAACAGAATTTGCCTGCAATTTTGTGTGAAGCAGGCTCAGTGCTTTACTGGGGAGCAGACAGGGCAGGCAGGTTTCCCCTCCGGGATTCTCTCTACCTTCATCCACATTACAGCCTTGGAGGGAAATGTTAATCTTTTCCTTCTATTTTGTGATAACTCGCTACTACATACAGGCATACTGTTTACCTCTGTCTAAATCGTTTAAACCTTTTATTTGAAGGTCCTTTTCACACAGGCCCCTGCAATCTGATCTCACTGTGAATTGTACAAATAAGTAACTCGGTTCTGAGACAGAGGGAGGGATTGAAGCCTCAGCAGGTGCTTGGTCAGGTCTCCAGGTGCAGAGCGCTGCTAAGGAGTTGCAGCCTTGTGAACTGTGGTGAGAATTGATAGCAGGTGTGAAAATAGGTTTTTCTGGGCGATAACAGGAGCTAGCATGGGTACTTACAGATTTAGACCTACTTTTTTTTTTTTTTTTTGCAGAACCTGGAAGAGGTTTTCAGTATTGTATCACTGTCAGAAAACCTGGTTCAAATTAATTTAGTCTCACATAAGCCTCAAAAAGATACAAAATCCAGTCTCTCTACGATCATGTCACCTTTAATAACTGTTGGAAGCTCCATCTCCAAGGTAGTTAGCTGTCTTTTCCTTAGCCCAAGCAATGTACTTTTCACTGATATTTTGGCAGATCTCCCCACGTGCCCTTCAAAAGATGACCACAAATCAGTATTTGCTCACCTTTGTGTTTTACTGCATCATAAATACTGTCCACAGGAAAATGGACAAAGGCAATAAAATGCCCAAACTGCAGTGCGATGCGTTGGGTGTCCTCCTGTATTTACAACTGATCCTCACAAAACACACCTGCCTGCAGGCCCACGGCCTCCGAGAGTCAGGCCGCTGGATTCCTGAGCTCTGAGAGCAGATTTCGGCACCTCTAAGGCAGCTTTTCTGGGACAGGGCCTTGTAAGCACAGGAGCCGGTGCCTCTACTCGCATCCTGACAGTTACTAGAACTCGGATGTCCGTGGGATCTTCAGTCCTCTGCTAATGCGCCGAACCACGGGTGCTGTCGCTGCCCCTGTTCTTGGGAGATTCTGCATCTGGAATGAATCGTAGATCTCCCCTTAAGGGAGATGGTTGTATTCTCCGCTGAATACCCGAGAAGCATATGCAGCATGAAAAGATACGATACTGAGGTTATGAGTGATTAGATAGATTCTGATTTATTAACACCTTCTAAAGGAAAACCTTTAATTGAATTGACACCCAAATTCAAATTCAGAGAATTTGACAACCGAATTCAAATTCCTCGTTCACAGGCATGCCAGGGTGCTTTCTTGTTTCTCAGAAAAGATGAGAAGAGAGAAAGGGAAGGAGATGACAGAAGGAGCTTTATAGAGTTTCTCTATGTACCTCAGCAGTACCGTGCTGTCCTGACCAGTGGCATTCACTGGAAGTGATTTTTCACATCCATTTTAAGATACTGATACTCATTCAGAGCAGCATTCTTTTTTTCAGAGAAAGTTTTAAGCTAATATCTTTTTAAAATTAGATTACTGGGTATTCAATATCTAATCAATCACATGGTAGAAAACCCCTCTTCTTCTGTCCCAGAGAACTTTATTTTAGCTCCATACTACTGAATTTTGTTTTTCTTAATAAATAGGAAACTTAGCACCTTAACTAAGAGAGGGCCAAGCTAAGCAGTGATGTAGCAGCTTTCATCACATCACTATGTCTTCTACGATGGCAGTAGGAAGTTCAAGTTGATTCTTCACCTGAAATAGTATCTGTCTTGCAAGTATTTCAAGGATGTTTTGGTCCAGGAAAGATTTGAATAAGATTGTTTTTAAATTCAGGCACTTAAATCCACTTTCAGGTAGCCTGATTGTCAAAGTTGCAGCTCCTAGGACGTCAGAGATGCTCATCTGCTGAAAACCAGGGAACAGACTTAATGTGCAAATAAGCTCAGTGCTAGTTGCTGGCACGGAGCTACTGCTTTTTTGGCTAATCTGCCTTGGGAAAGTGGAGCAAGTTTTTAAGGACAGTGGCTTCCAGTCACGGGAGGAAAGGTCAGGGAGGAGAGTTCAGCACAGTCACTCTGTAGATGACTTTCTGCTTTTTGCAGTCTGGTCATTTTACTTTGAAATCTGTACTTCTGGACCTCAGAAACTTCCTTGTGTTAATATGTCCACACACATTTGCCTTTCCTAGACTACTTCTGCCATCTCCACAGCGGATACAAAGCAAGGTCAGAGAGCATTAACCTTCCTGGTTCACAGGCATGCCAAGGCCAGGGTGCTTTGTCGTTTCTCAGAAAAGATGAGAACAGATAAAGGGAAGAAGATGACAGAAGGAGCTTTGTAGTGTTTTGCTATGTTGGTCGCAGAGCTCTTAGTGGTTCTCCATCCCCTTTCTCTTGCCTTCAGTCCTCATCCTTTGTTTCAGTAGTTTCTTCTGCCATGAGGGCAGTCAGTGGTGCCAGAGAGAGAAGACAACCTCTTAAATAAGAACACGTTCAAACCCGCTCACACTTAAGGGCTCATGTGCTTCCACTGTACTGAAAGCAGAAGGGAGTGGCTGAGCCTAAAGATGCTCTAATTTTCCAAAATCTCTTCCACAGTTGCCAGGCTAGGTGGCAAAGCGCCTTTCTTATGGATTTTCAATCCTAAAATGGTGGAAAGAACCAAAATCAGGAAGGGCCATTGACTGAAATCTCTAAGGTTGAACTGTCACACTCCTGTTTTCTGTAAGAAAGCCAAGCTGAGTCTCTGTGGTAAAGCTTCTGCAGCTGAGGCAGCTCCAACCTCATGTCATCCCAGCAGTTTGTTGAATGTTTTGTGTTAACTGCAAACCAAGTTATTTTTGCCTTACAGAAAGCAACCAAAAATCATGAGATGGATGAGTAATTGGCTAAGGGTCTCTGTATGTACAGGAAGTGAACTTGCAGTAGCAGCCACACAACAGGGTTTTTTTTGTCTTGTTTTTAAAAGTAACT